AAACTGAAGCATTATTCCTGAAGGCTAACCTGAGTGATATTCAGGTTAACAGGAGTGATATTCAGCAAAACTGGGGCGCTATGCAGGCCGACCGGAGTGCAGAATTTCATTACAATTAGTCTGAATAACCCTTGTTACAGTTAGAACTCAGTAAAGGAAAATACCATCATATGTGTGTACTGCAGTCTGCATTTCACCCTCAGTCTTCATTTTACCCCTGGTCTGCAAACAGCCGTCTGCAGTCTGCATTTTACACTGATCAATGTGGGAATGGCAAATCTTTGTACATACATGTTTCTTGCCTACATCTACATCTAATCATACCATTTTTGTATGCTTTGGTGGCATATAAGGAAAGTTTGGTCAGGCCTGATGGTTCGTATCTTGGCAAGAGCTAGTCTAGCCAAAACTTCCATGGCAAGACCAAAGAAGATCTGCTATGGAAACTGGAGGGGGGTGGGGGGGATGGGGGGAGAGATGGAGGTTATGGCACTCCTTGTAATGGTCTATATAGGGAGGCTCTGCCTGAAGGGGGTACCTTTTTCAGGCTTTAGGTTTATAAAAGGGTAGGGATTTCACAAGTTGAGGTATATGAAAGGGTAGGGAAATCTGTCACTTAGTTACTTAAATTTAAGTATTTCGAACAGACGCATATTATGGCTGTGTCATTTAATTTTCTATGCACTACATGAAAATGACAAGAAGATTTCCTTTTTCGGTGTGATTGATTCATAACATGGGCCAGGTATGAGAGTATGTGAAAGGGCACCTTTTTTCAATTAAAGGCACATGAAAAGGGTACCTTTTCTGTCAAAATGGTGCACAAAACGGTAAGGGGTTGGACCTAGGGGCAGGGTGTGGCAGGGTCTTCCAAGTAGTACTTTCTAAAGTACTACTTGTTATGGCCTCGTACATATGTACATTACACTGGTGAAAAGCAAGTTCTCAGTGCAAGCAGTCCTTTGACTTCCTACATGTAAGTACTTCAATGGGTGCTTTGTTCAACTAACATAATACTAATACAGTGTACTTATTTTATTTTTTTTTTTGAAGCTCACTGGATCTCACTGGCCCACTGTTGCTTGGGGGGTTACTGCAAATACCAGTTGACTTTCCTATCCAGTACCAACACTTTATCGGCTGTATTAGAAACGTCTACATTGATCACAAGTTTCTAGACCTGAGCCGTCCGCTGTACAAGAATGGAACATCAGCAAAGTGCAAAGCCATGGGAGATACCTGCTCTTATAAACCTTGCCAACGAGGCAAATGTGCCAACATTCTTGGAACACGGCAGTGTACATGTCCGCCGGGTTATGGTGGAAGTCGTTGTGAAACAGGTAATCAAGAGGCGCATTGAGTTAATAAACACATGCAAGTCACATGTTGTTGAGGTGAAAATGTGGCACCTTTAACTGAGCAATAAACATACATTTAAAGGGGCTTAATCAAGGCATTTTGAGTGTTTTTTTTTTTGGCTGTGTACAAAATAGTAGTCTAGGATAGAAAAACGCCAAAGAGATAATAATAAACCACAGAGGAACAAGCATGGCTAAGGATGGAGAAGATTAACACAGATTACAAACGATGAACTTGAAAAATTTAGGCTAAACTTTTCAAGTTGCGGAAACCCGTGACGTAGCTCCTTTATTCTTTGATGCTGGTTAGTATCAAAGGATCGGGCAATTTTCAATTGGATGATACAGCTAGACAAAGTTATGTACATTGAAGGCAAAAAACCAGCTCAGTTGTGCTTACCAACTTGAATTCTGAAGTGGAGGACTTAAACTTGAAGCCTCTGTGTTTCAAGTCAAAGGCATGTAATAATTATTTTACGGACAAATGCAAGATTCAGTCGTCATGGCATGCTCATAAGTTGCATTGCCACCCTAAAAACTAACTCACATTGACTTGCTACATCTTTCTTGTTTGACAGTTATGAAATTAACCGAGCGGTTCTTAGGCCAGAGCTATAAACGCGTGCCTTACACAGCAACAGTTACACTTCCATGGAGTTTCTCGTTGAGATTCAGAACAGCGAAGCCATCGGGCACCTTGGTTGAAACAACATTCTCTTCCTCGTCATCTGTGCTCAAGGTAGGTTTTCATGTAATATATCGAACACGAAAGACCGTGTTTGACCACGTTTCCAAACACCGAGAAGAGAGTTGTGAATACGACGAGTAGCGGAGTATTTTTGACGAACTTCGAGGTGTTGGGAAATGTGGTCAAACACGGTCTTTCGTGTTTGATAGATCTTCTCAATAGAAACTAACCCTAAGGAGAAAACGGAGAAATAAACTCGTAGAAATCTATGCTAATTAATATCAGATATCCAAGAATTACACCGTCACCGTCATGATTTCCTTTGTTTAAAATTGATGTATTATTGGTTTGAGAAAGAGTTATCAGTTCCCCAATCTGTATACTTTTAGTACACACTTAGCGACTACAAAGCTACCTGCGTTCTATCACGAATGCCGTTCTCTGATTGGCCACGTTACTCACATTTATTCTGGTTTTTACGATAACTTCAGAAATTCTCGCGCGCTTATTGGCTAATTGTCATTGTCAAAAGGCGGACAGACACATGGATTTATAATTTATGCGATGCGGCACCAAGCGAGAGCGGACAACTTGACAGTTTGTTATCGTAAAAAAACAAATTGACGTCAGTTTTTCATACGTCTGTCCTGTCATTGAGAATGAATTTTGTCATAACATTCTGCGGATCCACTCGGCTATTGCCTCGTGGATCCACAACACAAAGATGTTTGATTTTTGCTATAAATAAAAATACATCACATTGTAAGCCCTTTTTTACTGGGTCTTTTGTAATTATTTTCATTTAATTCTGTGTTTTTAAGGTGGTCAATGGAAAACTTATGTACAACTACAACGAATTACTAGTTCTGCAACTTCCTCACATAGCCGTTAATGACACCAGATGGCATCATGTGAACATATTGTGGACCGACTCTTCCCTTAACATCACAGTGGACTATATCTACTCAATAGGAGTTGCCTCATCGAACGGGAAAGATCTTGGAAGTGTCAGCGAGTTTTTTATTGGAGCAAGAAAGAATTCTACAACGTCTACTGTGTATGGGGGATTTAGAGGCTGCATAGAAGGTTTGTGAACAAGAATTTTTTTAACAATAATAAACTTTATTTTTATGCAATATTACAGCTAGCTAAATTACTTTCAATACTGATATTTGCACAACTAACAGTGCAATACAGCAACTTGAAAACTTGCAATACAACACAGCTACTTTACACTACTTGCAACACTTATACATTGTGTTTTATATAGCTACTTTACACTAAAATTGTACGATACAAATACAGCTACATTACACACTATGAAAGATACACTGGTTAATTATTAAACGAAACCCCCCCTCCCTCCCTCCCCAAAAAAGAGGTGTCGATGATTTTAAAGAGAACCCATTCAAATCCTTGTCATTTTGTTTGTCTCCAGGTGTTTTTATAGGCAGTAAGGAAATCAACATTAATGCGGGTGTAAACCACAACACTGCACGTGGGTGTGAAACTCAGATGCCGAGTCACTGCTTTTCCAACCCCTGTCCTAGCTACAGCACATGCCAAGAGGAGTTTGATTCCTATAGGTGCGTGTGTCCCACGGGATATGTCGGCAAGCACTGTGTGGATGTGTGTTCCTTGAAGCCCTGTCGGCATGGGAGATGTGAGAAGACCGACACACAGAGAGGATTCCAATGTGTTTGTCCAAAGCAGTACACGGGTGAGAGACAATTGGATAACAGTTAAATTCACTTGGTAACAAGGGGTGGGGAGGGGGGTACTCATTACAGCCACGACGGCAACGGCGACGAGAAAGCCACCACCGAAAGGTTTAATGAGTAAAACAATGTCTGTGCACGTGCGTTATACATTGTTGTACATTTCTTTGCCGTCCTCTGCACGACAGCAACATGAAATAACTATTTCTTTCGTATTTTGGAGAAGAACGACAGCTGCTACTTTTTCGTGTTTTCATTTGGAATTGAACGCTGGCGTTACGTATTTAGCTCGAAAAAGTTGTTGAGACCAACAGGCCCACTGAATAGATCTATGGTGGAAATCATACCACTGGGACATACTCGTAGATACGGTGGAAATTCTCTAAACAGGGAGTTTTTACTCTACGTATGTATGCATAACGAAGGCTGTTCTAGTTTTGTGCTTTCATATTTGTCAATATTACAATCACTTACACTAATCTTCATTTTACAATCGTTAGTATCTTTTCTTGAGAAATTTTGCCAACAGAGAACTCAACGCAGTGTATTGTTTTAAGATCAGTTTTCAATTGAGTGTTTTGAAACCAAAACCGGTTAACCAATCACAAACTAAGCTAAGGTAAAGGTGAAGTCTGCATACGAGCCAAGTGACGCATCAGGCCGGAGCATATCCTGGTTTCAGTAGCATGAAGCGACTAGGAGTATTTCTACTCCCCCCTGGATGGGATGCTAGTTCATCGCAGGGTCAACCCCAGCATTAAGTTCGCCGGTACCTATTTATACACCAGGGTGGAAAGAGACACTGAGAGTAAAGTGTCTTGCCCAACAACACAACGCAATGTTCCCGGCCAGGGCTTGAACTCGGACCGCTCGATCCGGAGACGAGCGCACTAACCATGAGGCCACCGCGCCTCCCCCAATCAGAAACCAAGGATTGGATTGTCTGTGTCCGTAATCACAAACAAACGACACAGACAATCTGGACAGTGAACCAGTCAAAACTTGAAGCAGATATATGTAGCTGATGGAAAGCGCGGGAAACTTCGTGCAAGCGAGTCACGATTGGTTTTACATGGACTTCTGAATGGATGACAAAGTGGCGCAATTTTTTTTTTAAGCCAATCGCGTAGCGTAGGAAATGCAAATCTCTTTCAATTCTCAGCTGATAACCGCTGTATGGCGCTCCAAATGCATGATCATGAAATCGTAATGCTGTTACTAACTTCAATCTTTCCCCAGGTGAATTTTGTGAAGTTCGTATGGAGATTCCGTGTCGAGACAAGTTCTTTGGAGCTTCAAGCATTGGAGTCTGTGGTCCGTGTCAATGTGCGATTGGAATGAATCTAAGCCCTGTTTGTAATAAGTCCACCGGAGAATGTTACTGCAATGTAAGAACTAAAGACTTCAGAGATTATGTGCTACCTTAATACCAGATTGAACATCAAGAAACAGACATTTGTAGTGTTAAACCTAATACCCAATGAACGCCGTTCTACCTTTTGAATAAGTGGATTACACCCTAGTGTGTGACCATTCAAATGAAAGCTATTGAGCCTTCACTTTCATGTGGTACTGTTTATTATGCTTTACAACGTGGTTCTGACTTTTTAAGTCTGTGGATGAAACCCTAGTGTGTGACCATTCAAATGAAAGCTATTCAGCAGTACTTTCATGTGGTACTGTTTATTATGCTGTACAAGGCCGTTCTACCTTTCAAGTCTGTTGATAAAACTCTAGTGTGTGATCAGTTAAATGAAAGCTACTGAGCAGTATCGTCTGGTAAATAAATTTTCTTTGTTGTCAACTCTAGTATTCTTGGTAGTGAAAGCTGCAGTAACTTAGTGACTTTCTTACTTTTCAGCCAAAATATTACCGCAAGATTGTAAGCTACAGATACTCTGGTGGCAAGAGTACTCCAGAGTTTAGTGACGGCTGTTTCAAATGTGATTGTGAAGCAATTGGTAGCACTGGCGAATACTGTGCTGTAGAGGGTGGGCAGTGCCCTTGCCAAGAAGGTCACAGTGGAGCTAAAAATGTTGTTGGTAGACGTTGTAATGCGTGTGAAGACAAACAGGGCCAGATTGTGAACGGCAGAGGATGTGTCGGTGAGTATATTAAGTATATCTGCTTCACAGCTGTTAGTTAGGTTGTTACGGTGTCACGCAATGCTGTTTATGGTCCCTCCCACTGTTCCCTCCCACCATTTGGGAGAGGTCTTGTGTGACACCCGTGACCAAAGTCTACCTCATGTCACATGCATGTGAAGTTGTTTCAACTTATTTTGTGTTGTGTTTTTAATTTAGTCATAAACACGTCGTGTCCGAGGTCATTTGCAGAGGAAATATGGTGGGGAAAAGCCGCATTCGGTAAAACGGCAGAGGAAAAATGTCCGTTTGGATCTTCAGGTTTGTAGATACACTGTGATGTCATTTTGCCTTGGTGGTGTTTTCTTCTCCAGTGTTAGAATGAAACACTTAAGTCGGTTCACAGGTGATGTGGTACCGAACTCCGGTGGACGAAACTCTAGTGTGTGACCATTTACTTTAGATGAAAGCTTTTAAGAAGTACTTTCATGTGTTGTTATGTTAAGTTGTTTGAAGTCTTTGCATGACACCTAAGTAAAATGTTTAAGAATTTATACCTTTCACATTAATTCTTGGGAGTTAACTTGTTAAACACTATTTTGTTTTGTAGGAGTAGCAACTCGGGTGTGTGACAAAGACGATGGCTGGCAGAAACCAAGCTTACTGGAATGTGCTTCGAACTCGTTCTTAGCATTACAGGGAAGGGTGAGTGTCTGCATTTCTACGAGTGGCTGTAATTTCTTTGGCTTTAGTTTTATGAGAGCTTGTTTTTATTTGCCTCTCAGCTTGCTGAGAAGGAAACGAAGGCAACAACAACCTCTAAATGAGCTCTCAATTTATCTTACGCTAGAAATATGTCAGAGATTTAAAGCCCCAAAATTACAAACTTATGACGTAGCTCGTCAAAAATCTGTCTTGTGTCGTGATTGGTTGTTATTTGCGTGCGGAAATCTGTCACCTAGCAACAACCATTCAGAACACTTCACCGATCTTTAAGCATAGGTCATCAGTATCCATTTTTTCGGGTCGAAAATCATTCGTGTCACGAGAGCGGGAAGAAAACTGAACGGTTGAAGAAATATAGCTGTCGACTCCGTTTACAGCGTTCTGCGCTAAAAAACGAAACTGCGAAAACAACAATTTTTTTCCTTGTCGATAATCTTTCTTTTTGGCGTATTTTTTTCTCCTTTTGCTCAACAAACGTAGAGATTCCAACATGTTGCTGGGTAGTTTTGTTATAGCTATAGCCATTGCGACGGCGCTGTATAATTTGTGCGAATTATTGCTTTTGAAGTATACGCCTTGTAGGAGTTGGTTCCGTCAATTCTTCTTTCCCACACCCCGCCTTAAAACGTGTGTTTTAAGAAAGGCAGCAACGTGGTTAGCAATCTACACTGGACGCCACAACAGAAGTTATCAAAAACTACAGAACTGACAACAAAATTCAGTGTCCACATCCCTCGGAGTTATTCCCGTCCTGCAGCCGCCGGGCTAGTCCCACCTTTCCCCCTGTCGGTCAAATACCCGCTGGCAGACCACCTTTAAATAACTGGCGTGTCTTTTTTTCAGTTGAAAAATCTAACATCTGGCGTTGTAAACTGGGAGCCTGATTTTGCCATTGGCTTAGCGCGGAGGTTAGATCTTGCTATAACGTTTTCACCGCGTCTCTACGCAAAGGACATCGACATTGCCTTGAAGATTATCACAACGCTGTTTGATTACGAGAGCAAGCAGAACTCCAGCACACTCGTCTCGGCGAGGACAAAGGAGTTTGCAAAGGTAAGAAAATGGAAGCCATGTAACCCACTGTTTTCAGTGCCCCGGAGATATCAACATTGAAATTGTAGAAACGTGGTGAGAATCCCAACTTTTGAGAGACTGACCAGTTGGCTATTTATGAAGCGCGAAGGAATTGAATTCGGGACCACCAAACTCATATCCATCAAGTGGCAGGGCTCAAGAGGATTAGAACCCGGGACCTGGGGATTACATGAATCCAGCGCCTTAAGCGCCACGCCGTCTCCGCTAAATACGAATACGAAATAACGATTTGTCGCCGAACACGGCGACAAATTTGTCTCACAACACATGAAGCTATTTTTGCGATGTAACAAGCTACAGTACTTCAAAATTGAAGGAAACCATAAAATGATAAACGTCTTGGACCGAAATCCTCAAAGAAGTGTAAGTAAATAAATAAAAAAGAAAGAAAGAAGAATATTGAGGTTGGGGAAGTTTGGGACGAACTACGAAAGACGAAGTTCAAGAAACTTTGCATGGTATTTGATGTGTTTTTGCTTCGTCATAGTTTTGTTTTGTTTGTTTTCGCAGATTCTTCTTCTGTCCGCCAGTATGCTGTTTAGCTCAGACAACAAAGATGTTTGGGATGTTGTTCAACAAGTAAGAAAAGAATATGACAATATTCTTGTTTTGTTTTTCCCGGTTGTTTAAGCGGAGTATATCAAAAAATGGCAAGAGCATGAATTTAGAGCATGCCTTTTGGGCCAACATTATCGTAAGATTGAAAAGCAAAGAGTATATTAGAAAATGCAACATCAGCATTAATTTACAGCTCACCTTTTAGACAAACTTGATTGTAAAATTGAATGTCAAGAGATTAAATTTCATTCTTTACAGCATTCCCAAACAAATTGTATCACATGATGCTATTGCTCAATACCTTTCATTTGAATGGTCGCACACTAGAGTTTCTTCAAAGTCTTTTAAGTTAGAGCTACAGTCATGCAAGCAAACAGGAATTGCAGCGAGGTCCGTTATAAAAGAACAGGACGGATTATTGGAGAGAGATGTTAAACACATCTCCATTTACGGTTTTGAAACCTCAGGATTTTATTTTTCTTTGAAATTCCACAGCACTCTGCTGGTACTGCTGATCTTCTAGAACAGATGGAAAACTTCAGCGGCAACTTAGCCAGGAGTCTGCCATACTTAAAGAGAGATTCTCACCGGTACAGACGTTCCACCGAGAACATCTTGCCACCTTACACGATTATCACACCCAACATAGGTGAGAAAAATAATCTATCTCTGTTTTGACTGGAGTTTATTAGGAATCTCAAACGTTAGAGAGTTTAAGTAACTATCACGGCGACGCCGAGGACAACGTCGATTAAAAAATGAACTTGTATTTTACCTACGAATCTCGCGATACTCTAAAGTCATTTAGTTAGTTTCTCTGTCGAAACTCTCTCGAAACTGAATTTATAAAATAACTGAGCTACTACGCGCGCTCTCATTGGTCGATAGGTGTGTTTAGATGAGAGTATGGAAACACGGTTGTGACGTTTTAGATTCGCGCGTATTTTTGAGAATTATTTAATAAAAGCAATAGGGCACTTTTTCCGTGTTTACATAGCCTCATCTAAACACTCGGGGGTTGAGAGAATTCTCGAAAGTTACGCAAACCCTCGACTACGTCTCGGGTTTACATAACTGTCTCGAATTCTACGAACCCTCCTCGTGTTTAGATGAGGCTATGTAAACACGGAAAAGTGTTCTATTACTTAGATGGAACATAGCGATAAAATTGAAATAGAACGTTTTGGCTCGTTCATATCCTCCGCGCTTCATATTTGCTTGCCATCTCGACGAACTGAAGACAAACTGGAGGGTCTGTAGACAGACTTTAACTAATCTCCGTTATGTCTTTTTTCCAGTTATGGAGCTGCATCCAATTTTTGTCAAGGGATTTTCAGGCTTGTCTTACCCAGCAAAAACTGACCTTTACAGTGACGCTCCGCACAAGATCTGGCGCAATATATCCAACAGAATCGACCTTCCCATTAATTTCTTCCAAGGCGTGAAAGGTACGTTTGGGGTATGAGAGGGTGTTCTTTGCGATGTCGAATGTTCTCGCTCTTATAGATCATGGGAAAAATTGGAGGGGGGCGGGGGATACTTGTTTTGTCAAAAAGGAGGACTGTAGGATGATTCTAATGGAACGAACGATCCGGGCTCCAGCCGTGGCCTGGTGAGTTTTGGGAAAAGCACTCTCACAGTTCCTCTCCACTGGAGGGTCCTAATGAACTGTCGAGACAACCTTTCAAAATCACGAGGGAGAAAGGAGGGTTGATAACTTGCGATGGATGGACTATCGAGACAAGCTTTTCTTTTCTAATCAGCATTGTGAGCGAGAAATACAAACAAACAGATCATTTTTTCAGATACGCAAAACCCATGGTGTTTCCTGCAGGGAACTTATTCTAAAACGTTCCACGCCAATATCTCCTTGACAATAAAGAGACTCATCGATGTTGGATAGTCTTGATGTTAACGACAATTTTATTGACTTCTGCTTCAGATATAGAAAATAACATTGGAGTCGGTTTCATGATAATAAAGAACATTGGAGACTTGCTGCCCAAGTCGTACGCTGCAAAAATCAGGTTAGCTTAGTTCAGTTCTGGCAGTCTCTCTGTCACGCAGCGCCACGCTCCCGAGAGCGTAGTGTAGCGGGACAGAGAGAGGGTGGTTTTCATTTTCCATTTACGCTAATCTAATTCTGTTGTTCATTTTTCACCAATTGTTTTTTTTTTTTTAGCGACTCCAAGTACAACGTGGAAGTCAGCTCTGACGTCATTTCTGTCAAGTTACCACAAATGGACAACGTGCCTTTAACAAATCCAATACGCATCGCTTTTGCCAACAGATTGGTAAGTTATAACCAGGTAACCGGTTTTTGCACGCATGCATAAATTACGGAAGATTGCTAAAATGGAGCTTATTCTTGGTACAAACATTAAAAGAAATTTCTCAAGCTCGGAACTGCGAGACTTGAAATAGAGACAGCGAACTTTTTGTTTATTAAATTAAACGCTTTTTTTTCATTTGTAGGTTAATCGTTCATCTTACATCTGTGTGCATTGGAACTATTCAGTCCCGTGAGTATAATCTTATACAACTGTGAGCTTTTGTGACGTTTCATTGTCTGAGTTCCTGGCTTAAAAACTCAGGCTCGTCCACACTACGCCGGAGAAGTTTGAAAACGGCGTTTTCACCCTGAAAACGTATCAATTGTTTTCCGTGCAGACCTTGCCGGGGAAATTGAAAACGCAACCATAACTGGTCATTTTGGATTTGTGTTTGAGCAAAACTTGGTCAGGGAAATCACGTGATTATCGTGTCGCCATCGTTTTCGCAAAGCTCCGTTTTCAAAATGTTTTCCGTCCACACTAAAACACAAAGCCGGCGTTTTTAAATTCCTCCCATTGGAAAAGCGTGTTTTCCTGACGGATCATTGTGGACGCTTGGCCCAACTGATTATGTTTTTACGTCACTGCAGAAACACACGTGGGGGTGGATGGTCAAGCGACGGCTGTGAATTGGAGACATCCAACTTGACACACACTGTCTGCTCATGCGCACACTTGACGGCGTTTGCTGTGTTGTCTGATTTGAATCTTCAGGTATGATTGAATGTAGTTTGTATATCTATATTACCTTTTACTCGCAGGATGGTGAGAATGTGTGGTATAATATTCGTTTTGGATAAACTCATGTTTTACAGTCCCTGGCGTAGTGTGGTTTCGTTCGGTGGAAACCACCAGAAAGGAGCGATCATTTTGAGTTGGATTGAGAGGAAATGGCGAACTCCACGCCTTCCTGCAGTCCGCGTAACGCACTTTGAATTCTTGAGAGAGAATTTAAGACTGTTTGGAACTTTTTTTTTTTTTTTGACTGGCTAAACCTGAAAAACCGCCGCTATCCATATCGCTCCCTCTGCATCACTGTTGTGAACGCGCCCACCCAAAAAGAATCCACAAATATCATTCCTTCACTCTTCCCGCTGCAAATTATTTTTTTTTGTCAGAGGAGAAAATTTGTCTGCATCCTAACACGAAGGTGTTTTCTTTCTTTTATTGCAGTATCCTGAACAAGCTGCCTTCGCTATGCGGCTGGTTACTTATATTGGCATTGCAGTCTCTCTGGCCTTGCTACTCGCAGCGTTTATCCTATTTTTATGCCTAAGGTAAGTTGCTTCTTGGCTGTTAATTTCATTCCTGTTTCAGCCGCCCCCCTCTTGTGTGCGATTCGATATGGAAAATCCAATTCTGAAGGCGTTTGCTCCGCAGAGTTCCGCACAGTTCTGATTGACTTTTCCTTACGCGCCAAAACTCGTTGCCTTGCGACAGCCAATCAAAGACGTTGCAGGGATTCCTTCAGAGCTATGTCAATGCCATATAATTTTTCGCTTCGAATGTCACACTTCTCCTACGGTTGAATCGAGCGAGTTAAGCAGATGGCTGTTTTGGCTAGTGCGATGAGTTTGGTGTACCAGACCAGTGCTTAGAAAAGGACTGCAGTAAGCTCCTTCATCTTAGTGGCTCAATGTTTTGTCTTCACAGAAAACTGAAGAGTAACTCTGTGACCATCCACAAGAACTTGATCGTGGCTATTTTCATTGCGGAGTTGACCTTCCTTATGGGAATAAACCGGACTGGAGATCAGGTAAATGCGTTGTTAAAGCAACTTTATTTTCGGTTTCGTTCTATAATTTTCTTTTTCACAGATGTGAATATGCAGTGAATCAGGGTTATAAGTCCTAAAGAGAAACCTATGATCTAACTTCGGTTGTATTTTGTTTTTTGCAGAGAATCTGCAAGCTGATCGCCATTGTGCTGCACTACTTCTTCAGCGCATCTTTTTCGTGGATGTTCGTCGAAGGACTGCACATGTATCGCAGGCTCAGAGAAAAGAGAAACATAGACACTGGCAAAATGTCCTTCTATTACTTCATGGGGTGGGGTAAGTCACGATAGTGTCTTAACGCATTGAGGTGTCACCATACTGTGTTGGTATCGACTTGGCATTCAATACGATGTTATATCTAATGGAGGAAAGAGGAGAGATAAGACTTAAGTCTTTTCAAATTTAAGTTGAGAAATGTTTTGGGAAATGAAGCTATTTGTACGTTTAATAGGTTAATCTGTTTTGTTTTTTTGTTTGTTTGTTTGTTTGTTTTCAGGATGTCCTGCAATTGTAGTAGGAATTTCTGCTGGTCTGGCGAGCGAAGGTTACGGCAATAAGAGATTGTAAGTCAGCTATTTTACATGCTTATGTCACGTTTATTTTTCTTTTCTTTTTTCCCTTAGAGAAGTGCTTATGAATCATTCAGCTATGTAGAGTTGTTTTTACAAGTTTCTGAGAACGATGCCATGGTGATTCATAAAGCACTTCTCACTTATATGAGCAAAAAAATATTATTTCATTTCAAAAAATTAATGTGTTAACAAGCTGTATTTTGAAGTCGAGTTTTATCATTTCTTTCAGTTGTTGGATGTCGACGGACGGAACTCTCATCTGGACTTTCACTATCCCGATCATTATAGTTGTAACAGTAAGTTATCATAGAGCCAAAACTGATCTCGGTTTTTCAGCTTCGTGTCGTAAAACCAAAAGCAATCGCAATGTCAACACCACAATGAACCAATGGGAACATGAGGCAAATATAGGTAACTGGTACCAAGCGCGGGAAAATGTGTGTGAACAAGCCGCGGTTGGTTTTTGTTTGCATGTGATTGGTTGAACTGGTACATCGTAACACCACAATGAACCAATGGGAACTCAAAGCAAATAAACGTAACTGGTGCAAGCGCGAGAAAACTACAGTGTGAACAAGTCGCTGCTGGTTTTGGTTAGCGTATGAATGGTTGAGCTGGTGCGGGTTTTTTTCTTTTCATTTGAATCATGGAGTGGAGTAAAGCAAAATAAAGCAAGTTTGAATCATTGTTGACACTCAGTTGCAAACCGCCTTTGTTTGGCTAGCCATAAAATAAAATGACTTGCAAGGTTTGTTACGATTGACCAAAACTGAGGTGCATGTCAATACTCACAGGTTTAGGAAATTGCCTCATTGGCAATCGTATACTTGGACAACATTTGGTTTCATGCCATCCTGACGAGTTTGAAACTCGGAAAATTCGAGTTTGATGGTCGTGATAATTCTTTTCTCTCCTCGAACCTCGCGATAATCCAACGTGCAGTTTGAGGGGGGGAAGTAACGAATGATTTCATTGTGTTTGTGAGTGACGTGTGCCTGGACTACAACGAAGTGTCCGCTTATGGGAGGGGCTGTTAGCGAAGGGTCACTCGTGACTACCAAGTAAGAGCTCTTGTACAAAGAGAGCTGTTTCAGTGCCTAACTTCTAAGATACCTGACTTAAAGAGTTTTACCAAAGTTAATAGCGAAAAATGGTTAAGAAATCTGGCAAAGTTCTTTGTTGTATGTTTTTGTTGGCTATTTTGGGGTTGATCCTGCACAAACCTTGAAAAATACAGAGTGGTTTTGTGTGCTCATACAACTAACCAAGAGAAGCATTGCGATTGTGCAATGCATGCATAGTCAATGAGCATAAAACAAAAGATGTGCAGTGTCAAGGACCTTCCAACATAAATCTTAGCTTGTTTGTTTGCTTCTTTGATGTTTACCGGGCTTCTTAACCATTTCCCTCTATTAACTATAATACGACAATACTTGAGAACTTGTTTGAAATCTATTTTGCATTCATTCTCACCGTGAGGGGATTGCGATACATTTGTATTATTTATTTATTGTTTTAATCTTTATTTATTTGATTGTTCAGTTTTTGTTTTGTTCTGTCATTTCAGCTCAATACACTAGTGTTTATCATGGCGTTGTTCATGTCACTCACAAAGCAAACCAGAAAGAGACGCCGACATCGTCACCATCATCACCATGACGACGAACATTCCAGCCTTACGTAAGATGCCACGTTATGTCACTACCGCATTATGCTTAGAAAACAAATGTCCATATTTGCACAGTTCAGTTCTTTCCTATCCACATGAGAATTCCGGGCTTGTTTGTTGTTCGGTTTCAATTTTCGCGGGTAAGGAACGAAACTGAAACAAAACAAAACAAAACAAAACAGCAGTTACAACAACAACAACAACAACAACAACAACAACAACAACAACAAAATGATTTAACTTCAATACAGCACTATGCTACTGCACGGAACTTACATCGTGTTACACGATGCATGCATGGTTTCTTATTGTAAATTGCCAGCATCTTATGGCATTTGTGACCAAAATTCGTGTTTCTTTCAGAGTTATGCGAGGAAATAGGAATCTTTGTCCACTAGAGGCTGATTTGCACGGTGCAATGTTTGCCTCGAATGTCGCATGCCACAAAATGCGTACCGCCGAATCGTTTTGCGTAGGTCGAACCTACCTTGAACTTGCATGCGATTGTCATGTCCATAGTCGTGCGGGTGAAAATTAAAGGTCGAGTCTTGAAGCCTGTGAGCAGCAACCTACTCTCGTCGGGGGAAAAAACTTCTGGCGGAAGCTGGGCCCCTCTTATTTTTCTTGAGGAGCACGAGTGACTGTACACGGGCTAAAATGGTTTCTCGGGAAAGTTTCACGGGACAATCACAAGAGAAAATCGTAATTTGCAGATCGGCCTGGGTTACAGTGGAATTCCAACCGGAGTTTGGAACAGCTATGAAAGAGTGTTTTGAGACTAACTGCATGGTATTTTGTTGTTTTCAGTGCTGGGTTATGGGCTACTGCGGGACTTCTTCCTCTGATTGGAGTTTCGTTTGCGTTCGCTATTTTGTTGGTGAATCAAGACCTGGAGATGTTTCATTATGTATTCGCAGCCTTCTGCTTCTCTCAGGTATAGGTCTTTGTCTTTAAAGAAAAAAGTTGTTATCCGGAGTCGTAGCCAAACGGAAATTCCTACCGAGACATAATCAGGAAAAATCATTTTTGCAAGGCAAACATTTCTTTTCATAGCCTCTTAACTTTTATTTCATTTGTTAAAGGAGCTCGGTCAAGGTATTTTGAGTTATTTTGTCCACGCACAAAATTACGTTTAAATTGAAGGAAACCTGAAAATAACAGTTTACTAAGATAGAAAAACACCAAGGAGACAATACTAACCTATAAAGGAACAAGGATGGTCAAGGATGGAGAAGATTAACGCGGATTACAAACGACGAACTTGGAAAATTTAGGCTAAACTTTTCAAGATGCGCAAACTGTGACGTAGCTCCTTTAAGCATTTCTTTCTTAACCTCTTATACGATTCTAAACTAAATAAATAGCTTCAAATTTTTTACCAAGGTAAGTACCGCGATTTGCCTGGTGCTAGCTACGACCTTGTTAACTGTAAACAAAATTATTCTTGGCAATAATATGATTATGTCGAACAGTACATGACGAATTTAGAGCGTACTTTGTCTTACTGCCGTAAGAAAATTAAGAATTTCGAAACCTGGTAGCTCAGGACGCAGGAGTATCTCTACAGTACTCCCCTTGGATGGGATTCTAGTCCATCGCACTGCCTTCCAACCTCCCTCCCCCCGGGAATTTGGTTGTTGTAGCCCTAGCAAGTAGCCTAAGGGTAAATCACAATGAACTCGAGCCAGGCTGAAATCTCCATCCCTAGATGTTCGTTTTAAAACGCCGCGAACTTCGCGTTGTTGCAAATTGTTGTATCAAAATTCTCACCATTTTTTATTTTGTTTTGCAGGGCCTGTTTATATTAGTGTTTTATTTACTCTTGGACAAGACGGTGAGAAATTCATTCATCACGCATTATTTACTAAAATCAAATAAGCAGGCGAGAAGTATTGGTCTTGTAATGTTAATGTTCATTTATTTATGCAATCCTTTAGGTACGCAAGGAATTCAAGAATGTGTACATGCGCTGGAAGACTAAGGACAAAACATACGGGATACAGAAACCTGCCCAACACTTTGTAAGTTGGCTTTCTACGCTGTCTCCCCTCTTTCCCTGATATTTACCTCGCCTACACTTCCACCTCCCCGACATGGCACACAATTCTGCTTCCACACACTTGTCGAGTTTCCTTCTCCACTTTCACCAACCTTCCCTGCTATAATCGTAACCCTTTGGCACTTCATACCGTCCCTTCCCTCATTCCTCGCACTGTCTCATTCTCTCACTCCTGTGTTATTTCTCCCTTATAAACTTTATTGTCCTCGCTTTCCACCCTTCCTAGGCCATACTGTCATCTCCATTACCTTCCTCACTTGTATCCCTTTCAGACTTGATTCGTTCCTCCTTCCCTCCTTTTCCACTCTCTCCCAGGTCTATCCCCGATACCTGCCTTATTTTCNCGCATTATTTACTAAAATCAAATAAACCGGCGAGAAGTATTGGTTTAGTTCCTGTAATGTTAATGTTTATTTATTTATGCAATTCTTTAGGTACGCAAGGAATTCAAGAATGTGTACATGCGCTGGAAGACTAAGGACAAGACATACGGGATACAGAAACCCGCCCAGCACTTTGTAAGTTGGCTTTCTATGGTGTCTCCGCTCTTTCCCTGATATTTACCTTGCCTACACTTCCACCTCACCGACATGACACACGATTCTGTTTCCACACACCTGTCGAGGTTTCTCCCCCACTTTCACCAACCTTCCCTGCTACAATCTTGATCCTTTGGCACTTCATACCGTCCCTTTCCTCATTCCACGCACTGTCTCATTCTCCCACCCCTGTGTTATTTCCCCCTCCAAAACTTTCTTGTCCCCACATTTCACCCTTCCTGGGCCATACTGTCATCTCCATTACCTTCCTCATTTGTATCCCTTTCAGACTTGATTCGTTCCTCCTTCCCTCCTTTTCCACTCTCTCCCAGGTCTATCCCCGATACCTGCCTTATTTTCACCCCTCTTAAACTTCCATCCCATTTCTTTGTCTCTTTTTTAAACCATCCATGGCCATACTTTTATCGTCTTTCTTACAAATTCATCCTTCTCTCTTCCGCACTCTTGTGCTTCCCACTTCCACTTTTCACCCTTCGTTGTCCTCTTTTCCGCCCTTCCTGGTTTCTTCCTTCATTTGCTTACTTTTTCATCCCTTTTCTTTATCCCTTTCTCTATGTCTTATTCTCACCCCTCCACAGATTACTCCGATTCATTTCCCTCCCTTCTTCAGATCCCTTCTTTTTCAGTGTTACATTATAATTTTCCTTCTCCACTTTCTCGCCTCATTCCAGGCAAGCCAACTCCCTCACTTCTCTTACCCTTCAATTTTGATTTCTGCAAATTTAAAACGTTTTGTTCCCCTTCAGAAACGTTCCTACCACCCTGGCGAGATGGCGCCGCTCCGTAGCCCCTACGAATTCGACGACGAAGGTAACGCGACCAGCACCTCTACCACAGAGCCATCTAGCAGTGGGTTCCGCAGCAGTGTTACAAGTCGCTTCACCACCACTGATGCCAGCGAGACGTTAGGCGATGAAGACAGCAGTGTCCCAGGTGCGTGATTGAAATATTAATTCTCTTTTCTAATTACTATACATTTCTTTGAATGTGAGTGTGGAGAATTTGGTGGCAGATCAAAATTCTTATAATCTCTCAGTACTGTTGTTTAGGGAAGCTGTTCGTCTACGCTCAACTAGTTTGAACGACCTCTAGTAATAGTCTTCTCCTGTTCTTGTTCTTTTGTTTTTAGATGGCGTATTACCGAAGGCCAAATATCCAGATAATCCTGAACTTGGTAAGATTTTCAGTCAGCATGCTGACTTGTCAAGTTGTCTTTTAATCATGTTTATTCCTACATTGTACATATTGGCAAAGTAAGCCTTAACAGTACTTTTATGCGGGAATGCTCTTCAGATTTCAACTTTTGAATTTTCCTTATTACTTCTTCCTCAGAACTGGCAAGAAAAATGTGGGAGCAAACAGACAAGTCAGGTAAAACTTGAAAACAGTGTTAGTGCTGTTGTTCATTTGCTCGTTTTTCGTTTCTTCGTTCTTTCGTTTGTTCGTTTGTCCGTTTGTTCGTTTGTTCGTTTGTTCGTTTGTTCGTTTGTTCGTTTGTTCGTTTGTTCGTTTGTTCGTTTGTTCCTTGGTTCGTTGGTTCGTTGGTTCGTCCGTGCGTTGGTTCGTCCGTACGTTCGTTCGTTCGTTCGTTTGTTCGTCCGTGCGTTTGTTTATTCGTTCGTTCTTTCATCCATGACCTTCGTATTTGTTTTTATTATAGAGGTGAGCACGACTCAGCCAGAATCTTCATCTGAGGAGGAAGAAGGGCGGCCATCTTCACCTGGCATTCCTTCAGATTCATCCGATTCTGATGACGAACAAGGTACTTTTCAATATTCCTTGCTCTTAGTCTGTTTGTTTTTGTCTTCTTTCGTTGCACAAACGACAACCTGTATAAATAGTTTCCATTTCTCAATTTGTCGTTGAGTGTTCGGTCGACGCCATCGTTCCTAAGAACCCTTTCGAGCCCCCAGTCTTACTGCTAAGAGGTTACCTAGCAACTGGCAGGTCGCCTGAGCTCCCATGGCAACTAGTGAAATATACATTTTGCGTCGTTCCTTTCATTATAATTTTCTTATTACAGGTTTCTATAATTTTCTAATAGTTTTCCCCTTCTTTTTATTCTTAGCTCCGAGTGAAAATGGATGGCCAAAGGATAAAACTCCAAAGAAGAAACGGAGAAAAGGTTTGCGATAGGGGATAACTTGTTGCGTATATTGTCAAATCCAAACTTTGTTAACAGAGTTCATCTCGCTAGCTAGAAACAGCAGCAATCTCAAAACGCTTTATGATTTTATTAGTTGCTACTAGCCGTCATAGAAAAACCTTGGAATTAAACTTAGGATACTGGAATTTAAAAATCCTCAGACCCTTTTTTTCAGCAGCGTTTACGCTTCACTGCAAGCGACAAATCTTGTCTCTAGTTCTCCGTGTTGAAGGTCATATACACTGTAGTTCTGTCTCGGTCACGAGGAAGTTCGTAGAAGCTCCACGAATTTTGTCAGCGTAATTCTGTGCGCACTCTACAATTGTGCTACATCAGGGGAGTACAAGAGACTCAACTAGAAGCCTGTCAATTTCCTTTCAAGTCGTAATTTGGAAACACGCGTCTTTCATCAGATATTTGCATTTCGTATATTGACCTTTTGTAGCCGCTCTTACGTGTTGAATGTGAAGGAATCCATTTCCTTACTCCGTCAATATTCTTGTGTTCACAGCTCCTTTCTACGCTTCGGACGGACCCATGCACAGCACACCAATGGGTAAGTTTGTTTAGCTAGAGAAGTTCTCTTAGCCTGACGTTCCTTGGCCAGCTTCTGAGGTTAGTGAGCGAGAATGTTGCGCAAGTTCTAACGAGCACAAGCCATTAGACATGTGTTCTGTACATTTGACAGGTTAAACCACACCTTATTTCGAGAAGTTAACGCTGGAAGCTATAAAGGCACTTCAAGATGTAGGGAAGGGGACGAGAGGAAGGGGTAGAAGGAACGGGGAAGTAGACGAGAGGAAGGGGTAGAAGGAGAAAGGAAGGAGACGAGAGGAAGGGGCAGAAGGAGGGGGGACTGACGGTGATCTCCCTATTCGAACTAGACATATTCGACCTTTGTTTCGTCCTCACCTTTCCTTTTTGAGCAAGAAAAGGAAATGGTCCATCTGTACTCCCCACCCCCCAGCTTTTGACCACCTTTAAGTTTTGATCATCGTGGCCATCCGTATCCATGGTGGCTCCTTACATTCATTACTAACCTCTCAACTCATTCTGTTGCGCAGAAACGACCCCAGAGGAGGAGCCTCCCAGGGAACCCGAAGGGGACTCGGATTCTTCTGACACCGGAGACGAAGAAATACCCACACTCGAGCGCAAGAAGGACCATCCCTCGTTCAAAGCTGTCCCCGAGATCATACGAGACAAGGGTGTGTCCGGCTCGGCTGCCACCTCAGACACCCCGTCTGTAGATAGCAGTTTGAAGAAGAAACCTTTGAAGTCTGCACTGAAGAAACCCAAGAATCCTATTCCTATTCCTGTTATGGAAGAGCACATTGACGATGATTCACCTGATAAAGCACTCAGGTAAGTCTTAAAGGACTTGTCTTTTCACTGCAAGTAGCACAACTGAGCATAACACGCCACAAGTAGCCTCTTCTTGGCGTTCAGTTAGTTGGGGCGCAGCGCGAAAAAACGGCGGTGAGAGAGGCTTGGTGCGAGGAGCAAGTGACGTTGGTGTTTCAGTGGTAGTTGTTTCTTGAACATTGTAAAGCAAACAATCCAAGTCCATTATGCAAAATGTCGAGAAAGCTAAAACCAACTTGTGCAGCATAATAAACGGCTGCACCAGAAAAAAGTAATACTCGATAGCGTATATTTGAATGGTCACTCACTAGAGTTTCATCCACACGTTTGAAAAATAGAACCACCTGGTACGGCAAAATAAACAGTACTGCATGAAAGTACTTTTTGATAGCTTTCATTTGAATGGTCACACACTAGGGTTTCATCCACACACTTAAAAGTTAGAACCACCTTGTATGGCATAATAAACAGTACCAAACGAAAGTACTGCTCAATAGCTTTCATTTGGATGGTCACACACTAGGGGTTCATCCACAGACTTAAAAGTTAAAACCACTTCAATCGACTCAAGGTTTGACTCAATCACTTTTTGCGTCCGTAGCTCCTCCGATCATCACCATCATCACCACCACAGGGACAAGCATCGACACCGTCGAGACAGGCCACGGTCCCGCGCTAGTTCGGGATCGGGAGATTACAAGGAGAAGAAGCGAAGGTTTAGAAAGAAGAGTTCGAAGAAGAAAGAAACCTTAGTACAGATCGGCGGGGAGGAATACAGAGTGAAAGTGGGCGATGCCACAGAGTAAGTATTCATGTTGATTATCACTTGTTTTAGAAAATAGGCGGTAAACATTGCGCGCTGTGATTGGCTTAGAGTCGACTGTCTTTAACGTTTTTAAATGGGTTACTTTTGTAAGGGAAGTGAAAACCGTTTATGAGGGGCTTCAATAGTGTTTGTTTAAACGACTTACAGAAATCAAACCAGCTTGTAGTAATAACCCGGAGAAATAACAAGTATTTTCTTAGGATTTTTTCGTTCGTCCAGACCTCAGTCCGTCTCTAACTCTTAAAATGCATGGAAAAATTAAGTGTGTTTCCTATTTCATTTTCAACATCTTATCTTTGTTGGTTTCCCACTGCTCGGCGGACAAATCAAAATCCGAGTTAGTCTTGGAGGGGTGGGACTGGTGCCGATGAAATTACACGTGCTGTAGGACACTCTTTGATTGGCCGAGAAGAATGAAATGTTTGAAACAAAGTTGCCGAGAAAGAGTCTTATGCATATGAAGACTTTTCTTTTACTACTGCATACCAAGGCTATTTGGCTTAATTGTCAGTACTCAGGAGTCCATTTATAATGAGTTTTCACTCGTACCACCAAATTTGTAGTTCAAACTTCGACTCTGCTTAAGATATCCTAGGCTATAAACATTTAAATGAAAGCTATTTAGCAGGACGTTCATTTGGTACTGCTTATTATGCTGTTTAAGGTGGTTCTAACTTTTAAGTCTGTGGATGAAACCCTAGTGTGTGACCATTCAAATGAAAGCTTTTGAGCAGTGCTTCCATTTGGTACTGTTTATCATGGCTTAACCTTTGAGTGTGTGGATGAAACCCTAGTGTGTGACCATTCAAATGAAAGCTATTGAGCAGTACTTTCATGTGGTGATCTCTGTTTGTCGACTTTAAAAATGATTTTCTTTTCTTTTTTCTTGACAATTTTGCACTCCGCAGTTTTTAAGAGGGATCGTGCTAACAGCAATATAAACTACTTGCTAAATTGCAAACCGGAAACGTGTGATTAGCAGACTCCATTATCAATTTTACTGGCACTGTTTGGCGATTGTGTTTGAGTGCTCGCGTCTAAAAACTGATTAAGCCTCTTAAGCTGTACACACTTCCAACCTACGTGCCTGACTTGACAATGGAGGAGTGCAGTCTGTTCCTGTTGTTTGCAGAGGTGTTTAAAATTGTTCCCTGTTTCGTGATAGGAATTAAATTATTAAACACTAAAAGACGGAAACTCCTGCTAACAACGAGATCTTTACGTGACCGTTAACACCATTAAGCGATAATTGTTTACAGACTGTTGTCGAAACCAGTGGCTTTGTCACGAAGGTAATATCCGGACTGAAGATCAGCTTGTCTAAGTTTTTCCTGCTAGTTTCAAAGCTTGAGTCAGGCATTGTGGTTTCAAATGTTAATCCTGTGGATGAAACCCTACAGAGAAACCATTGAAATGGAAACTTTCCAACAGTGCCTTCGTGTGACGCAGTTTTCTTTCCAAACAGTCCCACGTGGAAATTTCATAGCTCGTATTAAATTTGTAATTTTGGTCTCTTGGGAGGTAAAAATTTTAATAGACGTACTTTTTTTGCGTTTGTTAGTGGGGTTCTCCTAAATACAAAACGCTGCTGGCATTGCGTGTTATCGTTTTATGCAAATAATTTCAAACTGTTGACTGTTATCCAGAGACGATGGCTTCTAACCATTTTGCAGTAAAACCTCTCTAATCTCGAACTCAAATTACTTTCCCTTGAATATACTTTTCAGTCATTTTCTATCGACTATCTTGAACTCCCAGTATCTCCAACTTTTTTTCGTGTCCCTTCAGGGCTCGAGATTGCAGAATTCAAACGTATCTTAAAACTTTACAACACGATACTTAAGATTCTGTGTGAGGTTTGTTCCGCGCTCTAAGAAAATGCTTTGTCATTTGGGCTTTTTAGGCAATTTTGAAGTGCTTGCTAAGTACGATGTTTGTTTAATAAGTCTGTGCAGTCCTGGGGCAATTAGCAGAACCCAAACAAGCCAGCTGCTTATTGCAGCTGCGCAATTCTGTCAACCTCACTGGGGTCTCTCGATGTAGGGGGCCTTCGTGGGAGCATGTTTTGGCGTCCTGTTGCGCTTTTGTTTTTGTGTACAAGATCTTATCATGTTTACAAGTTTCTGTACGTGAAAAACTGTGCGCCAACTGCGGGTTTCTCGCCAGAAGGCTTCCAAGTCTCGCTTCATTAACCTTAATTAGCACTTTCCTTTGTTATGGTGTCTTAAATTATCTAGACAATAAGCGTGTTTGTTTCTGAAGTTAGTGCTCCCTGTAGCGGGCCTCTGCAAAGAGTGTTTGCTATTTTGTGTACGCTGTGGGCCTCGAGCTCTTTCCAGGGAGCTTGACGGGTGTTCCGTCCCCGCTGCGAAGTCCAGGAGAGGTGATAACTGTGTGAAAGAATAGCAATCATGGCTGGTGCCGAACGATATAAAACACAGTCTCTGTTGTGTAAAGCTCGTGCTAATTAGTTAAATGGAATATTCTTATACGTTTCCTTCCTTTCACAGCTTGTTTACTTGTCATCGAGATTTAATAGAGAATCGATTTATAAACTATAGCTCCCCGGCCTGACTCCGTGCCGTGCCTGCCTCTACCTGCAGGATCTAATTTAACTAGCGCTTTTAATAAATCCCTGTTCACAAGTGCATGTAGTTCTCTGTCGGTGGGGGTTTCAAAATCAGCCTTTCTGTGGAATTTGTAAACATGTACTTGGCAGTGCCGTTGTGTTCCCACCGAGGTTAATTAAGTTGTGCACAAAAACCTTTTGCGTGCCATCACAACCATGAAACTATTAATAACTGCAGTCGATCCTAAATGCAGTTTTGGTGGCTAAATCCATATTAACAAGCCCGCTACTTTGTCTGACTTATAACAAGTGGATTAAAGCCATCTTTCTTTGTCCCTTGCCAGCTTTCAAGATTCCCAAGTCTGAGAACAGCGCGAGGTGGGTGAGAAATTTTTGTCTACAATTAAGGCAGTGCTATTTTTAATCCAAGTTGCGCCTTTTTCTGCTTCGTTTAGCAGCGGCAGGGTAGAAATTAAAGCTTACAAGATAATGGCTGATAAAGCATAGGGTCACGGATGAGTAGTGTTAGAGAACAGATCGCATGATCAGTAACTGCACCAAGGTCCTTGATTTATCAGTCAGTTTCGTTTCACTTCAAAGGTTCAATACATCTTCAGGCTGACATGGCTTTTTTGGGAAATTTTTTTTTAATGAAACTACAAGAATTCGTCGACTAGATGTTGCTGACCACATTATCCCAAAGGTACTAAGAAAAACGTTTGAAAATTTGTGAGACTTAATGATCTCAGCGCGCCATTTAGGAGTTAATGATGGCGGTTGCCCTTTGAAAAGTTGGTACTTGTGTCTTGCACGAGCTGATCTCGTGTGTTCGACTGAAAAACTCAAGTGTTCCTTGCATAATGGGAAACCTTTCTCTGAAGGTCCTCTGAGAATTCTTTGACACATTCAAAGAATAACCTTTATTTGACGATTACCTTTGTTACCATCTCTTGTCTTTTTGACTACTGATGTTCGGAGAAGAAAAAAAAATTACGAATTGTTTTGATACCGTATATAGAAGGGTTAGCTTTTGATGTGAGGTGTTCAGAATTGCACTGTCTCTTTTCCCTCCCCTCCCCCCCTTCGATTTATTTTCGTTTTTCCAATGACGTTTTTGATTAATCCCATGTAAAATTCCTCCTCGTTCACGTTTGCCTGAGCAAGTGCCTTTGTAAACACGCTAACTATTGTAAACTCCTAAATTTTACGTGAAGTGGAAGGGATTTAGGAGATGTTCTAGATATCCTATCGCCTAATAACAATTTTTCACGTCCTGTTTACCTGAAGGAATGTTTCGCGTAACTTGCTTAGCTTTTATGATCAGGAGCTTTAGAATTACGTACTAGGGTAAGCTTTTCCTTTTTAAAATTCTCTTTCCAATTCTTCATTGTTCCAGCTCGTTCGTAAAATGGTATGACACACGTCTTTGGATTTTTTTTAAACGACTTATTTTTTAATGATCACGAGATTTGTAACTACATACCAAGTTAATCTTTCCTAATTTGAAATCCTTCGACTTATTTTTGTCAGCTCGCATGTTGTTAGCGATATGCTTAGCTGAGCCGTAAAATCACTCGAAAACTGTGAAATTACGACAGAGGTTAAACTTTCGAGTTGAGATTCTCTTAAGGTTTGCTTCGCTTTGAGTTCTGTTATTTGCTAGTTCACCTGAATTGGCAAAATTGACAAGATTCCACGTACGCGATGGATTCCTTTGGCTGTTTGTTTTTAGCTTGTCAAGGCTTGAACTTTTGTAATCTTCTTACGTTTAAGCCCTTTCGTTTCCTCTCAAAGTTTGATTTATGCAAGTTGAACGCATGCTCACGTCATGACCTACGATTCCCGGTCGTTTATCAAAGCTGCGGTAAATTCTAGTCATTTATATTGGGCGTCTGTTTTTTCTGTGCAAGTGGTCATTAGATTAAGTGCTTGTTTAAATCAAAGGAATGTTTTATACAGCAATTTTATTGGTGCGGTTTTATCCAGAGTTGCTAATTTGCTTTTGGGTTGGGTTGAAAACGAGTAAGAACTTTTTATGTTTACAAGTGTACTTCAGAAGACTTCACAAATATTTCCCAGTGAACAATTGAAATTTCTTCTCGGTCATTACATGCTACTTGAGCAAAACATCCAAAACATTTCGCTGTCGCGACTTCGTTTCCCTTCACCAGCTCCGAATTGTTGCGGTGAGCGAGTGTGAAAAAGAATTAACCTAATCTTGGCTTGCTTCACCTTTCTATTTTAAAGTGACGACCAAATTTGTCTGATCGTGAAAGTAAAATTAGAAACTGGGAACGCGGTTTTTAAGTGGCTATTGTTTGGCACAAAGTAATCTTGTTTTAAAACTCTGAAATAACAAAGAAACATGGCATAGGCTATTTTTTTTT